TAACAAAACCCGTGATTTTCCGGAACTAAAAAACTGGATTTTTTCCTGATTTTTGTTTTTTATTTTTTTTTACAGGGCCAATGATAAAGCAATCAAATCAAAAATTATGTTTGAATTACATGATTCGCAACTTGCTGGACACACTGGAGTCGATAAAACTTATGCTGCTATAATTTAACATTTCTATTGGCCTAAAATGAGTAAAAGCGTCAAAAAGTATATTCTTAGTTGTGAGCAATGTCAAAGAAATAAAAGTAGTAACCAATCACCTGCTGGACTTTTACAACCACTTACTACATCTGAACATCGTTGGGAACAGATTACCATGGATTTCATCGTGCAATTACCACGTACAAAACAAGGCTATGATGCTATTGTAGTCTTTGTTGATCGTCTTACCAAACGTGCTCATTTTGTACTGACCACCACCACCACCACTGCACCTGAAATTGCAAAAATCTTCTTTAATAATATTTTTAAGTTACATGGATTACCTCGTGTAATTATATCAGACCGTGATCCAAAGTTCACTAGTCGATTCTGGAAGTCATTATTCAAACAATTGGGAACAAAACTTGCTATGTCCACTGCTTTTCACCCTCAGTCGGATGGACAAACTGAAAAACTTAATCGTACATTAGAAGAAATGCTGAGAATATACACCACTTACCGTCAAGATCGCTGGGATAAACAATTAACTGCTGCTGAATTTGCCTACAATAATGCTAAACAAACCTCAAATCCATATAACTTCTTAAATATTCATCCTAAATATTAACTATCTTATATCAATTTGTAGCTCATGTTACGATCTACAACTTTACTTAGAACATCAACAAACATTTACTTGAACTCGAACTGAACTTTTAGTCAGGTTCAAGTCTGGTTCGAAATTTAAACTGAACTTGAACCAGACTTTTAATTAGGTTCAAATTTTTGAACGAGACTTTTTGTCAGGTTTGAGTCTGGTTCAAGCTTGAACCGAACCAGACTCGAACTGAACCAGACTTTTTTTCAGAACCCTAATAATTGCAATGGGAGCCATACCGCCTAGTTTGTAGGATGCATCCATCACCTATCAGACGCATTATTGGGCTATCTCTCGTACATCCACCATCTGCCAGACGCACTATTGGGCTAGGTGGAGACAAGAGGACAAGTTATGTATCATGATAAACAGTATGAAGACCTGATAAGATAGAAAAGAAGTTTTGATTATTAAGACATATATAAAGAAAATATTTTACACACATAATCTATATAACAACAAACCTACTACACTTTTGTATAATTGCAATGGGAGCCATACCATCTAGTTTGCAGGATGCACCCATCACCCACCAGACACACTATTGGACTACCTCTCATATATCCATCACCCACCAGACGCACTATTGGGCTAGCAAAAAGACTAATATGTTCTACCTCTCGTACATCTAAGGATGCTTGCCTAAATTCTTTCAGAAAAATATCGTCATAATTTCGACGGGTTACACACTAATTATTAATTAGAATTTCGACATAATTTCGGTTACGACGGGTTTCAAAATTCGTCAGAATTTCGACGGGTTATTTACTAATAGTTTATTATAATTTCGACAGAATTTAGACAGTCACTAAGGAATTTCAGCAAGCAACCTTACGTACACCCACCAGGACACACCCATCATCCACCAGACACACTATTGGACTAGATGGAGACAAGAGAGCAAGTTATACATTATGATAAACAGTGCGAAGACCTGATAAGATAGAAAAGAAGTTTTGGTTATTAAGACATATATAAAGAAAATATTTCACACATATAATCTATATAACAACAAATCTATACTTTTACATAATTGCAATGGGAGTCATACTGCTTACTTTGCAGGATGCACCCATCATCTACCAGACGTACTATTGGGCTAGCAAAAAGGCTGATATGTTCTACCTCTCGTACACTCATCAGAATGCATCCATCACTGTTAGATGCACTATTGGGCTAGGTGAAGACAAGAGGGCAAGTTATGCATCATGATGAATAATGTGAAGACCTGATAAGATAGAAAAGAAGTTTTGGTTATTAAGATATATATAAAGAAAATATTTCACACATATAATCTATATAACAACAAATTTATACTTTTACATAATTGCAATGGGAGCCATACTGCTTACTTTGCAGGATGCACCCATCATCTACCAGACGTACTATTGGACTAGCAAAAAGGCTGATATGTTCTACCTCTCGTACACTCATCAGAATGCACCCATCACTGTTAGATGCACTATTGGGCTAGGTGAAGACAAGAGGGCAAGTTATGTATCATGATGAATAGTGTGAAGACCTGATAAGATAGAAAAGAAGTTTTGGTTATTAAGACATATATAAAGAAAATATTTCACACACATAATCTATATAACAACAAGCTTACACTTTTACATAATTGCAATGGGAACCATACTGTCTACTTTGCATGATGTATTCATCATCCACCAGACGCACTATTGGGCTAGCAAAAAGACTGATATATTCTATCTCTTGTACACACATCAGTAAGAATGCTTGTCTAAATCCTTTCAGAAAAATATTGTTATAATTTCGACAGGTTACACACTAATTGTTAATTAGAATTTTGACATAATTTCGGTTACAACAGATTTCAAAATTCATCAGAATTTCGACAGGTTATTTACTAATAGTTTATTATAATTTCGACAGAATTTAGACAATCACTAAGGGATTTCAGCAAGCAACCTTACCCATCAGGACGCACCCATTACCCACCAGACACACTATTGAGCTAGGTGAAGACAAGAGAGCAAGTTATGCATCATGATAAATAGTGCGAAGACCTGATAAGATAAAAAAGAAGTTTTGATTATTAAGACATATATAAAGAAAATATTTCATATATATAATCTATATAACAACAAACCTATAACACTTTTGCATAATTGCAATAGGAGCCATACCACCTAATTTGTAGGATGTACCCATCACCCACCAGACATATTATTGGGTTAGCAAAAAGACTGATATGTTTTACCTCTCGTACATCCACCAGGACGCACCCATCATTCACCAGACATACTATTGGGCTAGCAAAAAGACTAATATTGTTCTTGTTAATTCAAAAATTGTTGAAATTAATGAATTAACAAAGTAACATAACAGTGAAAGAACAAAGACTGAATGAATT